CGCACGCGCACGCGCACGCGCGCGCGCACACACACACACACACAGACAGACAGACAGACAGACAGACTGCATATTGAGCCCGAAACGCTCTGCGAGGCCGAAAGGTTTGCAAACCTGGCCCTCAGCACGCCAACACCGGAGGCATCGCTGCTTTTTTCCCGACGCTGTATAGTTCAGGTGAAACCTGTGTGACAGCCTCTCACAGATTTTGTGTGAACGATACTTGCTTTTAGCAGGTCAAGGATACAAGAATCTACCATCTACGAATATTATTGTAGGACATAGCTACATCGAGTCATGTAATAAATCAACAGTACTTACTTGTTATAGAAGCACAAGTCTAGTTGTTAAGGGGTGGCACGTCAGAGTTTAGAGTTTGCAGCCGGTTGTACATGATACGTATATAGTAGAAAACGGAGCGTCTATAGTAGGAATTAGTCCTCCCCCGTGGGTTCCTCTAACAGACAGCGGTTCGTCTACGTTACAGCCCGCAGTAGCAGACCCTGAACCCTAATCAGTTTTGGTATGTGCCAGTGCAGAGCGCAGCCTCGGGCTTCAGAAGGTCGTGTTCAAGCACGGCACCTGACTTATCATATGGCTTAGTGCTTGTAGGGTTTAGGTCACTTAACATAGCGTTTTGGGGTTCGGAACAGAGCGAAGCCATGCTGAGGATTCGAACCTTACTAGCCGAATTAGTATGCACTTTACACTTTTTGTGGCGAATATAACTTCTTATGGAAAAGCAGAAAATTGTGGGGCTTCTGAATTCCGCAACTAAGGAATCGTGTCCAGTGAACAACTCCTTGACCTTGACTTGGCGGCATTGAAGCAGTACTTGTCCAGAATGTGTGGACTGTCAAGCTTCCGGCAAAGGCTGGTATTCCTGGAAGAGGATGATGGTGATGTGGCCTTGGATGTCGATCGCACCTTGAAACCCGGCGAAGTGCAGGTCGTCCTTCTAAACTTTTGCCCCAGCATCTGAAGCGCAAGTGATAGCGCTCCGGGATACGGGAATGCGCGGCTAGACATCAGAAGTGGAGAAGGTTTTACGATCGTCCCAAGACCCATGTCTCGGTCATCGAGCCCCGCTGTTTTTTGGCAGCCTGGCACGCCCACCTTGAGGTGACGGGCCTTTTGCTGGAGGCCAATGCGGACATGAGCAAGGTCATGCGGGCTTGCGCCACCTTCATGCACATTGCACAGCCCTTTGCTCACTGCTGCTCAGCATGGACAGCTCGAGGTTGCAAGCCCTTTGCTGGAGGTCAATGTGGACAAGGACACGGTCACACAGGATGGCACCGCCCCATGGCACAGTGCAGCTAAGAATGGAGACTTGCAGGTTGCACACTTTTTGCTGGAGTCGAATGCGGACAAGGACAAGGCCACGCATAATGGCTGCACCCCTTTGTGCATTGCGGCACACGATGGATACTCGAAGGTTACACGCCTTTTGCTGGAGTCAAATGTGGATGCGGATAAGGCCATGGATGATGGCTTCACCCCTTTGCGCATTGGAGATCAAAAGGGGCACTTGGAATTTGCACTCCCCTCGCAAAGCAAAAGGGTCAGGTTTCGGTAATGTGGCTCAGCACTTGGAGTTTGCCGGTCTTTGCTGGAGCGCAACACGGAGAAAGACAAGGTCTTCGATGATAGTGCCGAAATTCGACTGTAGCGAATCTTTGGCATGCATGTGCCGAGAGACCGCTGCTGCATATGTGTCAGACATGCCGGCGATCTGGTATAATGTGTTCGCGTTCGTGAAATTGGCGATTGCGTCCACATGACCGCTCCACGTGGCTATTCAGTCTTCGAAGGATGTGGTGCAGAGAGCTGGGTCTAGGTCTAGGTGCGAAGGCACATGAAGCTGGAGCTTTCGAGCCACTCTCGCACCCCTGCAACGACGTGCTGAGCAGCCACCGACAACGACAAGTAAACTTTTGTTGCCGACGGTTCGTGACCATGTTAGGGCCGAGATCATCTAGTGTCGATGACAGCTTTCTTGACAAGAATTCAACACTACGTCAGCGGTACTTCCGTTCCTCAAGTTCCCAGAACCCTAATAAGAGCGTGTAGGCACCTGCCGAAGTCAGACAAGCCGGGGTTCTCGAGCTACAAACTCGAAAGCCGAAAGCCCTTCTAGCATCCTAGCAGGCTACATGGCTACGGCTCAAGGAAAGTTCGGTCATGTGATTTGCGTTGTAGGTTCGTCCTGGCACGGTGGGATGCAACAAAACACACCACCCTTTGCCTATATAGTCTCCATTGAAGTTCCTTTTCGCCTAGGACCCTAAATGGCTACAGGGGAGAGTAGCGAGAAACACACATGCCCTTCCTTTCATGACGTGGATGGTCGCAGCTCCGATATCTGCTGGCACGCGCCACCTGGCAAGACTCCGGTACTTCCCATACCAGACCGTCGTC